GGTAGAGTAGACTACAATGCCGGCTTGTTCTGACTCACAGACTGTAAGTACGTTTTCATTTAAAGAATTTGCCACTGACGATTCAAACGCGAGTTTTGAGCAGTGTAGAGTAGCACTTGTTGTTTGTCATTTCTCCGAACACAAATGCAGACTTGGTTTTGTGTTTACGTGGCGCGATGCAACGCAACACATAAAAAGGCAGTATAAGTCATTATAATCCGTTATCATGTCCCCACTGGATGCAACAAATGCCTCGTTTATAATGGGTTTTAATGTTTTTGTCTCGTCGCTCCGGCCGGGACACGGCATCACAGTATGGTAAGGGGCGTAACATTTCCATTACACGCTTGAGGTATTCGGCCAATCACAATGCACTGGATAGCTGGCCAATCAGAGCACACCTCGCTTTTCAGACCGATGAGCTTTGTAAAAATTGACGCGTTTCAGAAAGGCGGGGCATAGAGAAGAAACAATAATGTACAGTATGTGGAAAATAATGTGTTTTTTGAACCTTAAACCGCATAAACACATTTCATTACACCAAATACACAAAATAAATGTTCTTTTTAGCAACATCATATGACCCCTTTAAGAGCAAATGACATACCCGAGTTAGTCTATCAATACTCTGAAACTACATCAAATTATATATTTTTTTACTTAGCAGGAAAATTAAAATACATAACTATTTAGATTAAAATACATCACTTTTATATCATACATATTTATATATTTTTTATTCATATTTATTATTTATTCATTATTTTTATTTCCATGAAAGATGTCAGGATAAACATTTTCTGTTTATTTATATTTCCATGAAAGATGTCAGGTACAACATTTAACTTTTTTAGAGAGCATTTTTTAAAGAAAAAAATTGGATATGCCTGTGAGTCTTTAAAATTTTTAATTAATTTTTAAAGCATAAATTTCAAAACCGTTTATGTTAATTTGGTCAGTTTTTAGGCAAACACTCGCATATAAATGACCTCAAAGCTTATACATATAAACCAACAGCCACAAACCTCCAATTCCAGCATCTTCCTTAATCTACTTTACAGCATTAAAACATTTGACGAATTCAAGTTGGAATTGTGATTTCTCGACTTCACCTTTGTGCATTCTCATGCACAACGTGGTCGCCTACAAATTTTCCCGCATTAAATACCAAATTAGAAAATATCCCATCTAATAAACATCAGCTGCCCTTTAAATTATTCTCTTGAACCTGCACCACTCCATCATGCGGCGGAGTTAATTAAGCTATGGAGAGAGTAATAAAGAAGATGGATGTGGAGCAGTCAGAGATGCGTGCCCCCACCACACGACAACAACTGAAGCCTAGTAAGTTCAGAGACCAGCGATTGATGAATCTGTCAGCCAATCGTCTTACGATGACATCAGACTTCCTCCCCACAGAATTGGACTGTTCCTGCCCTGTAGTGCCATCGTCTTCAGCCAGTGGCCTTGCTGGGAACGTGGTGAATCAGAATTCAATTGGAAAGGCCTGATTGTCATTTGCTATCAATGCCATATGCAAAAACGGGTCAGCCAATCAGTGTACTCTTTTAGAGACGTGCTAGAGGGAAATTCTGCATACCAAACCACTTTCAATTTTAAACAGGACTGAATAGGGGCAAATTCTGTTATTTTGACCAAAAACAATAAATGTGGTTTTGATGCTATTTAATGTGGCGCCTCAGTTCAAGTGCCACGTGAACCAATCATCTCTTCCTCTTTACTACCAGTTAAACTAAAGCACAAAATAAACCTGAATGAACATCAGAAGGTTTGTTGAAAGAAACAGTATAACTTCAATCAGTATAGTTGATCAATCAGTGTTTCAAATGTGGAAAGATGTCAATAACACAGCTTGTAAACAATATTTTATGTAATGTAACATTTACCTCAGTGTTACCATTCAATGTTCAATAACTTGATTGCCAACTAGAAAAAACACTAGAAATGAACATTTTGATAATTATATGCACTATATTACATACATCATTTTTTAACGCATGTTTGGGGGGGGGGAGAAATCTGTCACGAAAACAAGTTTTTATTACAGCTTATATCATTCAAATGCAACTTGGCAACTTTGCAACATGCAACTTTCACTCAGTAGCAAAAATATGCCTTCAAACTGGAAAGAAAGAAATATTTGACATACTGTGATTATTATCAATATTGACTGATATGAAAAAAATGTATCATGATAATTTTTTAGGGCCAGGCCTATTTCTAAATGTAGAAAATTGTCAAAATGATGTATATTAATTTGCCAATGTATAACCAAATCAAACTGACTGATTAGGGCTGCACAATTAATCAAATTTCTAATCGCAATTACAATTATGGATGCCACAATTACATAATCGTTCAAAGTCCACTTATGCTATTCTGCACACCTAAGATATGTTTTTTTCTTTTTACATGTTATCTTAAGGGTTTTTCCATTGTTTTAGTTTTAGTATAACATTATAATACCATTCATCTTTTTACTTTTTTTTATAATTTAAAGAAGAAACCAATCCAATGTATATTTGGCATTTGAGGCTTAATACTATAGAAAAGGTTTTTAAGTTAGTGTTTTCAGCTTGTTTATTTTCATATAAAAATACGGCATGCAGTTGCATCAAACAATAGTATAAAAATCATTCAATGTAAATTGTGATAATCGCAATTACAATTTCAAGGGAAT